CTACTAAAAAATAAAATTCACTTGGCAATAGTGACTGACATAATTTTACATTTAAATGGAAAGGCTTATCCAGAATGACTTGGAAAAAAGTATTAATGAATTTTGTTTTTAAGTAAAAGTAAATGCTTTCTAAATACTGTTCAAGTCGACGGACACTTTCAACTGATTAGTGGCCAAACGAAAGATTTAGGTAGATGTACGCCCTTAACAAGGCAAACGGTTGAAGAATTGCTTTGGGACAGTGATTTTAACGCCTTTAGAAAACGTTACCCAAATCTAATCTAACCTCCAAATTTCTTGAATATTTGGACTCTCTTTTATTCCTTGAGGCCATTTTGTGAGAAAATATGACTACGTGGAATTTATAAAAAATGTAAACACTACAAATCTATGGCAAGGTTACTTGGAGAACTCGGAAAAGAAAGAACTATTTTGCATAAGTATATGCCAGCAGTCAATAATCGGAACACCTCGGTATGATTCAAAGTTAACTTGACATACATAAAGGTCCTACTTTGAGCATCGTGTAATTTAGTCTCTGACATATTAATAAGTCAGAAAACCTCACTTGCGCCATTAATTATGCAGAATCAAAACGATAGTCAACTCCTGGATATTTAAAATCATACGAGATTGAATGATTACGCTATCGATAAATGAGTTTATCCCAAATCCAATGAAGGAAGGTGACCTCTAAAACGCACACCGAATAACAAGACTTCTGACTACAAAAGTACAAAATACCATTGAGTCATGGCGGTATTTTCTGTGATTAATGTGTTCGTCTTCGGAGTCATGATGTAACTAATTCGATACTCATCGGTGTATAGCATACTCAATATATATATATAATTTCAGCCATTCCTATTTTCCCCATTTTTCCGGAACTTAAAATTGTTTTTCCTACCTAAATAGCCTTGCTTTCCTCATTCTCTATTTGGCAATTATATCCCAAAGTCATTCACATATACTCAGTTTGCCAATCTAAACCTCCTGCTTGTAGCTCGTTTGATAACCTGTTTGTGAGTACTGACATAAGGACGATTTTGACGTCATTTTAGTACATGCTTTCTGTTCTGCTTTTTAAGCTTTGAATCTTGAATTTGAAGACCACCCTCGGAGTTTGGTTCCTCAGTTACTAGTCTAGTCGCTAACCCTTTAGTCTGCTTCATGGGGTAGACTTCGGCTATAGAATCGCCTCAACATCTTGGTATTGAGTTTGCGAGGACATGTTCCACACTTCACTGTCTTCCTGGAAGTTGGTTGATTGTAAATTGTCAATTATTTTAAAGTTATATTTTTGGGTTCATAGAATTTCATAATTTTCACACAATAAGGAATTTCAGGTCAAAACCGGTTGGTCTGTGAGACGACAAAACGTCCCAAACGCTAGTAATCGTGTTTGCCTTCGATTCCATAGGTTCTCTAGAAACGTGGAAGTCTTTTAAGACTTCAGATAAGGCAAAATTTTTTACCTTTAACATGAGGTGAGGCACTATATTTTACTGATTTGGTTTAAAAAAACCAACATCTCAAAAGACCGTTTAATAGTACACTCTTGATAAGCAATGAAATTTCTTCTTCATTAGAAAAAATGTCTCCCCATGTGGGAGGGGTGGGAAGGAGTTAAAAAGTTCCCGTCTCTTTAGAGTGGCAGACGAGTCTGTCTGATAAATTAAGAGATGGGAAAAGTCCTATAGCCCGTCTCACTTAGTTTATTTTTTCCTTTCTCATTAACGTTCACTTAATTGGCGTTAAATTTTTCTCTAGCTTTCACCGCTCTCTTATGGGATGATAACAACCTTGGAGAAAAAAGTTGCGTATGGAAATGGGATCACAAATGTGTGATGAGAAAACAGGAGAGATGTCTGCAGTTAGGTATCACATTCACTTAGATCTCGATACCTACCTATCTGCTACCAAGGTGTGGTGTGAAATAGCCCAAAAAAAGCCCGATAGACTGCTAGAGTGATTAAAGGAGAGACAGAGAGCAGATCGCACTGACATTTGGAGTTTTCAGCAGTATAAGCAAATATACAAATACACAAATATATATATCCGTATATATATATATTGGGGGTGTTGGGGCACAGGTACTTAATGTGGCAGCAGCGCAACCTCAGCGACGCGGCCGTGGCTAAAGTACATAAAGTACAGGTCAGCAGTAGTACACATTTTAGATGTGTGTAGCGGAAAAAAGAGGAAAATGGATTTTGTAGAAACACTTTAGGATTTCGAGTTAGTTGAAATGATTCTCTACTAATTAGTGTTCGAAATAGCGAAAGTAATGGTCTTGAATTATCAACAGCGATCACTGTTCGCTGTCTCTTCATGGTTATTGATAGAGCCTTTTCTACTTACGCCATTCAATTGGAAGAAATAGTCAGAAAATATTGATTTCGACAGAATGTTTGCACAATATCATACCGTTAGAAATATTTTAAAGGCAGACGCCCTGATTTTTGTCTAATTGAATAGTCACTTAGATCAGTTGAGCGTTTGTAGAAATATATAATTTCAGCTCTAAAACATCACACGATTTATTATTAGAGCTAAATCCGATTTGAACTTTCATCCATTTTCAATACCCAAGAGGTGGGTATCTAAGACGATTTATGTAACGTTCGTACAGTATCAATATTCAAAAGAGGCTCTGACTTTTTGGCTTAAGCAGTTAATTAAAATTTAATAGAGCTGTGGATTTCAGCATTCAATGAGCAGAAGTTCCATCACCCCCTGACTTAGGTAGAAGGATGGTGTTCTGAAGCCGCTCTTAAGAAAAGCTGATATTCGATCATCTATTTTTTTGATCAATGCTAGCCAACCACACTACTGTATGTACGTTGATGAGCACTGATTTTCTGATGGAAATTCAAGTTATTCAGAGATGAACTTGAAAAAACTCCCTAGTCCATTGCAGAACTTGACTTTGGTAGACGGAAGTTAATTTGAAATCATAGGAATAGTACCTCTTTTATTTACCCGATTTAACATGGAAAATTGATCAATCGCACCACTGGATGTTCACTGATGGTCATTGATCTTGCTGACCCCTAACTTGACAGGCGTACAAGTTGGCTGTTTCGATACCGGATGAAAAAGAACCTTCTCTTCGTCTTGCTCCTTTTTTTGGTGAAATAATTGCATAATAAGTAAAAACGCAATACCAATAATCGAGTTCTATTAAAATAGAATAAGCGAACGACTGATACACACTATCGACAGGGGGAGGGGGGGGGGTTATTTAAGTTAGAGAAATTCTTGATCTCTCAGTAATGTCGATGGATGAAAATTATTTCTTCCAATAACTTAAAAAAGCGCATCTTCCCTAAAATAACTCATTAGCCAGCCAAATACCCGAATTTTCTCAAAGGACTTTAAAAGTCGTGCCCAACATTGTTGTATTAATGCATATTAAGTTTCAAATTAATATACCTTGATGAACATTTTATGCCGAAATTTTGATATATCAAAGTCAGTTGACGATAACAATAAAGTAGTTTAGAAAAATAAGGTAGGACTGTTAGAAAGGACATTCGGAATTATGAAACGTGAGGGACTACTTCACAATTTACTGCTTGTGACTTGAAGGTGAGTGCTACTCAATAACATCTAATAGGTAAAGTGCATAGGAATATTGAAAATTAGGGTCTCAATGGAGTATGATTCACAAAACGATAATATGCAGTAAGGGGAAATATCCCTAACAAATTACTTCGCTATTTCTATAGTGACTCACTCATCTCTATATTGAGAAGACTTAACGACCTTGAATGAAAGACAAATGCTTACGTCACGGTATATGACGTAGTGGTCACCGATCTCAGTCTTTACTTTGCCACGGCGTTAGTAACTAAGCAGGAATGAATGTAGCTCCTACCCCGACATCCAAATCGAAGTGAATGATCAGGGGTTATGGAGTCAACCTACTTTTACTTATTTATGAAGCATCAGTTTAAACTAATGTTAGCTCGAGAGAGAGAGAGACCTGTCGAAGGTTGCGGATTGAGACTAAAAATCGAAACCGAAATTCTTAGTTATGTTTCAAATCTCAATACTGCACACTAACTCAGAAAGGGCCGAAATGCCTTAAAAGTTAAAAATGTTTATATATTAAAAAATACGAATGTAATTGTGGTGTAATGGAAAAATTTTAATCAAATGTAGTTCATCTAAATAGCTGTAGAAAAATAAATGCTTCACTCAGATAATTAAGCAGGCAATTAGGGTCAGCATATGAAATTACTATGGCTACTATTTTAACTCTGCTACGGATATGACAAAAACACCTAGTAATGAGAAAAAGAGAAAGAATTTACCGAAGAAGTGAGTATATTAAAGAGAAAGCTATCGGACAGTAGCGAAGGGAAGCAAAAGCTCGTCCGTAAGTGCACGGAGTAAAAAAAAACTAAATTTATCAAATACTTTTTAAAGCGCGGGTGGGGGGGGGTTGGGGGAATTTATGATTAGCTAATCAAAGTGGGACGCAAGCTTATATATATTCTTATAAGCCTTCGATTCTTAAAAATTTGGAAATCATGGAAACACTTAAGGAAACTTCAGCTGATCAAAAAATGTTGCTCAAAGCTACATCAAGGAGAGCTTTCTAAAGAAGTTGCCGATAGCTTTGTAAATATACCAGACCTGAGCATAAGACAGAGAAATATTAAAGGAAGCAAAGCATATAATATTGATTTTAGCGTTACTGATCGAGTCTTACTATCTGGGTGTATAAGTCTAGCTAGATCGCAAAACGTAATACAATACAAAATACTGAGGTCATGGAGGAAACTGTAGAGAAATCAAGAGCAGTGAAAAGCGATTCAGTTGGTGACCAACAGAATACACCCACTTGAAAGCATACATCCTTCGATACAATCACATCAGAGAAAGCGGGTGCTTGTTCGAGATGAATAGCGTGAAGCGAAGGAAGGTATGCACAACATGAATGAATGCATGCAAAGCCCTAGCGCTAACTCGTAAGCAGAAAGATCAGACAACTAGGTCACTATTTCCAAAAGATGGGTAACACAATTTGATGTGATAAGCCGTGTATAGCACACATACATAACATATAAGTAGCACATACTTGAGACATCATGGTAGCGTTTGTAAAGGTAGGATGCTTGATTAGTGAGAGAGCCTGAGGAACTAGTTTGACGATTGAGGAGATTTTGAGACTGGAGGGGCATTGATTGAATTGGCGCTTGAGTAGGAAGTGGAGCGGTACTCACTGATCCTGAGGAGAGAGTATCTACTGGGGATCGACGAATTCGCAGGTCTTGCGGGTGACATGAATCATCACTACTTTCATCTCCGCACTCTTCACTATTTACTGTCGACGCAGCTGCGGCGGCTGCTGCAGCAAGGAGGGCGGAAGAGAGGAGGGGTAGAGTTGGATTAGAAAACCATCCATTTTTTTCTAAAGAAAATTTATATTAATTAAATAACTTTGACAACATGATCAGAATTTAGCTTACGATTATCCGAATCATCGGTAGGGAGAAAAGTAGAAGAATGTGCAATGGGAGGAGTTTCAGAATCTAAAAAATGCGATAAGTTTTAATTCGAGAGTTAGTTAGAATATACCTTCGTGAACGATGGCCACATGAAGATGAAGTGAACGGCGGTCTGTGAAAGTCTTTCCGCAGATGCAACACAGGCTGAGTTCACTACCCTCTATTTCATCAAAATCCGAAGAACCGAACGGACGGCTTTCCGTCATTTTGCAACTATTATATTAAATGCGAAAGCAATATAGAAAAGGACATAGTGCTTGTTATACATAATATTGGTGAAATGAAGCAATATAAAATACTGAATGATCAGCAAGATTGAAATAGAATATAAGCTTCTTTATAACGATTTAATGTAAATTACAAAAGAATGAAACAAAATCTGAATGAAAGAGATAAATCAAATGTACTGAATGAAAATGAAAAAAATATTTTCCCAAAAATAAAGGTCAATGAAAATACTGTCCATTTTATGGAAAAAAATTTTCGAGAAATATGCATAATAAAAATACAAATAATAAGTAAAAGCAGTTTACACTAAAGAGAGCATTGTAATTTTGTCCTGCAATGTCTAAGACAAAGTGAGAATTACCAAAATTGAACTAATGAATCAAATAAATAATACCAACTCGATAACGTCTTATCGCGTTAATTTGTTTATCAAGGTCATAGAGTTAACCGTGTAATGTGTGAACCAATAGGAGCTAGGAGCTAACGACCTTAATGCAAATCAAGCCATTTGAATATAAATAAATAACATAATATATGTTATTATTCTTTTCTAGAACATTTTTAAAACTACGAAGAATGTAATTGACTGAGCATTTACTCAAGTGTTGTGGAAATAAAAGCATTATAACATTTAATTACTTATTTGCGTAAATAACATTAAATACATCTCTTTCTATTCTCTTTTATGTTTGAGTTTATGCTATTTTTATAAATGATAATATCGAACTCACTTCATATATTGTTAAATCATATTATCGAATGAACAATTTAAATCATCAAATTGTAAATATTTGCATTTTAATCCAATGTATTTTTGTTTTTACTGCAAAATTAATCTTATTATATTTTACGAAAAAACATTTTAGTGAGTAATGTGAACCAACCCTTGTGTGCATTTTGACTGCAATTTATGGTTTGTTGCCTACCCTATTTCATTTGAGCTTATTGCCTACATACATTATGCTTTTTGATTGCTATTTTAGACAATTTAATGAACTATTTTATTCGGTTAAATGCATTTATATGTAATCTTCGATGGTTAGTATAAATATTGCGTTTAATAGTTTGATACATTGTAAATTCCGATTTCACTGACGGTATATCCATTACCTTTTTCGAATCATCTTTCTTAGATAATGGAACACCAGAACGCCGTTGTAGATGCACTACCGTATTTCGATAAGGGCTATGACGAAAGTGGAATGAAGGAAGCCAATGCTCTACTCACAGAAGAAATGCGTCGCTACCGTCCAACAAAAAATTATCTTGAGAATTTTCCTTCACTCAACGGCCCATTTTCGACGAAATTTGAAACTGAGGTGATGCGAACGGAGTATCACCGTTTGGCTAACAGACTGCCCATGGAAATGCTGAGCATGAAGAGATATGAATTACCACCACCTCCCACCAGCAAATTAGGTGATCTTCGGGCTTGGCAGGAAGCGATTGAAAATGCTCATGTACTCATTCATTTCTTATTGTCTGCTTGTTGCTTTTCCTTGAAATTTAGGCATATTTTCGTAATTTCAGGCTCAATTAGAACATCAGCTTGTTCGTTTGAACAATCTCGAACTGATGACAGAATTCGGTTCTACCGCTTGGAAGACCTATAATGAAGAATTAGAGAAGATTTTGAAGAAACACGAAAAGGAGCTCCTTGAAGTTAGGTCTGTCTAATTTTCCCGATTTCTGAGTGATTAGCAAATTTCTTTTGGCGTATTTTGACATTGAATAATCTTTTTTTATTAAATTACTGTATGTCAGCCATTTTCGTCCATGTTTGAATATATTCTTCAGACCAATTTTTCTTTTGTAAGAAGGATTTATGCAAACCTCTAATTGTGAATGAAGTTATTACCCTTTTAATGCTTTGTCATTTTTGATCTTTTGTTTTTAAGCTAATTGCTGACTATTCCACTAAATCTTAGGTTTGAAAAGCACGAACGAATTTGGCAAATAAAGCCATTCCCTTACTGACTTTTTCAACCGTTAGTTTTCCTCCGACCAACCAAGTTGGCTTATTATTTGGTAATTTTAGTTTATTTCAACATGGATTAAAATTAACTGCCCTAGTCCCTTATTAGTATGCTGCAAACAACATTCTTAACGGGTGTGTTAGAGGTCTTTTTATTTAGTTGTATATTATAATATCTAAATGCATGATTTGCTTCCGTGTGTGCCTGTGGTGTAGTGGTTAACGTGGTCGATTGCCATATTAGAGGCATTTAGCTTGTTGCCCATCGATGCACACTTCATTGGTCAATTCCCTTTTGTGAGGGAGACGGGAATGTGTGAGTTTCTCATCGTGAAGATTTGTCGGTTCTACTCTCTCCCCATCCCCACCCACTTTGAGTGTTATAAAATGCTTTATTAAATTGAACTATCTCTATATTAAGATCACTTTATTGCTCTTTTTTCATAGACGCAAAGTTCAAGAGATTAATTGGCAGCGAAAGCAGGAGCAGACGAAGGCAGGCGAAGCACTGACTCGTCTTGAGGAAGAATGGGTCAGTTTGGTTGGCAAAAACTACGAGATCGAACAGGCGATTCTGGACCTTGAACAGGAGCTGCATGCCGCTGGCGTTACCACGAATTCTAAAGAAGAAAAGTAAAATTGCATTAGGATGGTGTTTGTACATATTTTGCTTGTAAATTTTCTTGTGTAGCAAAGTAATAAGGGATTTTATGGGGTTGAAAAACGTTTTTTTTTTCATTTTTTTAAAGGGTTACTGGTGCATTTCACCCAATTTTAACTAGTGGTTTCTCAAAATTGGGAGGTTTAATAAAGGAAAAAGTTGTTATTTAGTACTAATTATGCTACTTCATAAAGCACTGGAGTCTAGGTGCAATTGCGTACTTGAATTATGCCAAGAATTAGACGACCAGAATTCCTTCTCGGACATTGATTTGGAGGATTTTATAACACGTTCTACTTATCAAAGTCTAAGTAGATGTTAATTTTGGTTTGCTCTGTTGAAAGCTTATAGCTGATTTAAAGGTTTTAATAATTTGTGCTCCACAAATCTAGAGGTTTAGAAAAGTCTATTTCACGTATGGTCGCGTTTATAATGCTTTGAATTTCATAAATGCTTTGAGGACGCAGGGACAATAGCATCGGCTTGATTTGAATCCATGGAGGTACTCATGGTATATGAATATATATATAAGCGAAGGCGAAATCTAAGATTTCACTAAGCGTATTTCATTTTGTTAATTCTGAGATCATAGGAATAAGCGAATTTTATACCAACATTATTATTCAAACTTCATTGAAAATATTTTAGGAGACATTTGCTATAAGTGTTTTGTCGCAAAAAGTGTTCATGGATTTTGTTTGAGCGGAATCTTTAAAACAAAGGAGCTTCACCAGAATTTGCTTAATACTACCTGACATAATACATCGATTACCGAAGCTTGCTCTTCTCTTGCGCTTGGCAAAAAGAGATATGACATAATTTAAACACAAACTATAAAGAACCATGCATATTATTAATTTTACTTCATAAGACTAATTTTTCGGGGAATTTAGTCTCTAATGCTAGGAAAAAATTAATCAATATTTGTTGGCAGGTCAGTTAACGGGAATTTAATTTTCCCTAGGGTCTTCACAGTTTGCTTAATAATAGCCGTAATGGTAGTTATATCCGTTTTTCCGGCCTGTGTGTTGGGAGTATTTTTTTGATAGTTTGAGGTTCCAAACCGAACATTATTGGGCCAAAAATGTGAGTACATTTGAAGGTAAAATAAGTATACCATTATGAAGACGGTCGTAAGGGAAAAAACTCTTGGTATTCCAATATATGTATGTCGATCACTTGAGCCTTTAATAGAGATTAATTTGTTTTATTTTTAGATTGAGAGCGGTTTGCGAATAGTCAAGCGGTATATAAAGACATGAACCATTTTTTAATAAAAATCTTGACCAAATTTGAAATGTACGCAAAGTTATAAAATTTCTATGTAACGGTCAAGTGACCTTATCTCATAATGTTATTTACCTTATTCTGGAATATTTCCTAACACTGATTACTTATAAGGAACAAGTTACCAGCCGGTAGATCAGCATCCATTCTCAAGATATTCAATATGAAATAGTGAAAACATTGGAATTCACTCATGGACATATGCCAATCGATCGGCTGTCTTGTCGACAAGTTTTTTTTCATCGTAGTTGGGTGTTTACCCAATAGTTTTGGACCATGGCACCCCCACCCCACAAGTGAATACCAAAGCTAAGACCCTAACTATTCTTCTGAGCTACGAGACTATAGAAGCCAAAACTAAATCTGATAAATCTTAGGTTTATTATACAGAGTTTCGCCAAATGCATTTTCCGTTTAAATACCATGTACTGTGGTATTGCTATTGCTATTTTTTATTTCTTAAATAAGACGAAGTCCAAATTAATGGTCATCTCCAGCCTTATTTGTGGTGTGCGAGTGATTGCACTTTTATGGACGAAGCAATTAAGATTTGAACTAGTGGCGTAGGAAGAAATATAGCACCTTTTAAAAAATTTATTGAACAAAGCTGCGTGGACACGTCATCGCTTAACGCGTCCTCGCATGCCTGCACGCAAGGATTGGGAGGTGCGGCCCTACAGCTCTGCGTGCAGCGACCGTACAGTGGTCAATCAGTAGCCTCAGTTTGTTTAACCTTATCCGCCATGCTGATCATGATTAAGCTCCTTCCGTGTACACTTTTTATCCACAATATACTTACTGAATGAACGTGTTCCGTGCTATACGTATGTTTTCTCTATAGCTGGGCTATAGCTTAGCTAGTTCTGGGAGTCTAGCGTAGCTGGGCTATAGCTTAGCTAGTTCTGGGAGTCTAGCTAGATATAGGAGAATCTGCCACAGAGATTTCTCAGTCAGTCAGGCTTTACTAGTGTAGCAATCCGCTATAAAGCTCAGATAATAAGCATTTGATGACTAACGTTCAGACAAGACAGCTACTTTGTGCTAAAATTTTGAAGAAGACTTTACCTGTGCGAATGCCCTTCGATGCCATTGCTGTTTAATTAGGTTAGTGCAAATATTTAAACTTGAAGCACATAACTATTTCTGGTGAAAGTTATCGAGATAGTTTAATGAAACGCGCACTCACCAAAATTCTGGCAAAAAATTTGAGATTTATAGAAAATTTCACTTCATTTTTCCCAGTTATCCAGTAAATTCTACCATTTCTAAATAATGTCAGTTGAAATTTAAATGAAGCACCTAAAATAATGAACAGGAACAATCATATAAACACCAAGTTAACTATTTAATGTTAAAATTAGCTTGATTCTCAATTTTTTAATTCAATTGACCTTAGTTTCTAAGTTTTGACCAATAATGAAACTATTAGAGTTAGTTATAATCTCTTTCTACCTCTTTCGAATGAAAAAAATGTCAAAAGCGGTCGCTGGCTCACGAACCCCTTGTCCTATTCTAGTGAAGTTATTTATAAATTTGCCCCAAATTACGCCTTTAAGTATCTCCCCCCCCCCGCCAGCTATTTAGTAATTAGTTAGTTCAAAATGCCAAGGTATATAAAAATATTCCCACTTCTCATCCACTCGATTTGAGAACTTTTATTGCGGCTAAATACCCCACTTTCACTGTCTCCACCTAATCACAAAGATGTGGGTAAGAAACTTGTTGAGCAAATAAAAGGGTGTCTTCTTGAGCCACGAGAGAGGTGACAGTAGAGTTGACTCTTTCCCAAAATCTGGATACGTTATGACGAAATCATATTGTCCAAATAAAAAATAGATCCAATAGAGATCTATCTCGAATCATGTTGCCGCATTCAGCAACTTAGGAGACTCAACTAAATCATCAGCCTAATAGTTAACTCAGGCGCTTTAGAAGAGCTAGAATAAAATTGCAAGGTTGAACTAATGAACGGCTTTCACTGGGAGTTATTAGATAGAAATGAACACATTTTATTAAAGAAGTATTAACCTCTCTTACAGTATTCGTCTTACCATTTCTCTGCCTTTGTGTTCTTCTGCCCCTTCACATCTGTGAAGCACTCTTCTTTTCCCCACCACTTTGATGTTTCTCCTCCTCCTCTCTTTGAAGCCCGGAGTCAGCTAAAGGGCTAATGATAACTATCAAAACGCCTGCCATTTGAGATAAATAAATAAATGATCTGGAGAAACCATTGTATATTCTTGGTTATCAATGAAACATTTTGATTAATGACCAAAATTTAATATTTCCGTTTTATTTATACAGGGACATTCGTTTTATGAATTTAACTTATTATTTTAATTGTTAGGGGTAATGAAATGCTATTCTCTACATAGAAATATTTTATCTATTCGCTATCGTTAATGAAATTTACATTTTATAAACGGAGTAAATAATCGTATTCATATCATCAGAATTACAAATCACTGAGTTAATTTTAGTAAATCAAATGATACTACAACTATATTTTCACATCTCAGAATTTTCATGCACAGAAGGCCATGGATACAAAAATGGAATTAAGTGAACCTAATCTGGCCTATCAACTAAGCCGACTTCCTCACTATCCCCTTGCGCAACGCCAAGGTAGTTATAGATTCTTATATATCATCTTACTCATTGCGATTGATTGGAATAATTACACCTTTATTCTTTTCCCATCAAACAGACGTAGCATCTAAGATTCCTTACCAGTTAATGAATCACCGTCTTTTAGTTGGCAATGAACGAATACCACCTGGAATCTGTATGGAGGGTTTCGCCCATGATGAATTCTTTTCCATTCATTATCCTTATTATGTTACAAAGCTTAAACTAGTTTGGAGCCATCCTAACGAACGTTTTGAAATAAACCTCATTTTTCAAAAATATTTTGACTCCCTATATGCCAAATTTTGCAAAATGTCCAATGCTCTTATAGGATTTGACTTATACGGCCTGAGAATATACAAGTTAGATGGTAAGCGCAATATAACTTTGAATAATATTTACTTAATACTTTTACCAGATGTGGATGGGTTCACATTAGTTAGATCAATCCGTCGTCAATTGGATTTAAATTGGTTTTTGAGCTTTGCGCAGGAGGCCTCGTGGTCAAACTGGCCAACTGTTTCAAGTGAACAGCCCTCCGATTTGAGCTATTTACTTTATAATAAAGACTTAATTTGGTGCGTTAATCCAAGCCGTGATATCGAGTTCAGCTCCCAAGAATTTCAAAGTATTTCCGGCATATCTATTAGACAAAACAGCCTGAGTAACAGATTTGATTTTGTTGCAAGTGCGTCAAATTATGATAGCCATACCAACCTCCGTATATATATAGCTGCGCATGACCAATTCGGTCTCTTTAATCTATCAGCGCCAAGGCGCCAATTTGAAGAGATTTGTTTCCCGAAAGCGGATCACAAGATAGGCTTTGTCCAATGTGTTTTGAGAGATAACGGAGAGAGAAAAGGAGTACTTGTGCAAAGAGAAAATAATACAATCGAGTTTTGGGATGAGCGTCAACCAAAAGAGCCTTGTCTAAATATCAAAAGCCCTCTTTCTTCAGTGATTTTTACACATTTGAATCATCCAGTCGTGGATTTACCATTGCAGTCTGCGATAGCAATTCACTCACAGCATCTACGAAAGATCCAGATTTGGAGTCTTCAAACGTGTGAAATTTGCTCAGAATTGACTTATCAGGAATTTACCCCATTTATGGTTTTACCTAAAAGGTATATGCTTTTCAGGTCACAATGGAGATATTTTGGTAATGAACCATCCCCAGGAGGGCCAGTTCTTTTGTTAAATAATGGCTTAAATTTTGAAATTTTCTATTAATAGATTACTGAAAAGGGAAATTAACAAAAAATCTTGTCTATTTTTACAATTTTTGGTTAACTATAGGGGAGAGGGGGGGGGCGAATGATAAGATCATATGTCACATTTCATAGGGTGGCATTTTACTAGTTTGGTTTTTCTTGCCCACTGCGACTTGTTATACCCTGCTTAGATGGTTATTGTATTTGTATTTAATCATATAGAATAACAAAGTAAGAAGATATCTCACCATTGATATTCTTTTCCATTATCAGTTTAGATAAATGTAAATTTTGATGGGGGTAGTTGTAATCATGGTAGGCTAGAAGAGATTCATATTCAATCTCATTATATTTAAATGAAAATGTTAAAAATTGTGTTTTCAGGACAAAAATCACCTCTAAAAGTTGGAAGTGTTAATTTCTTTTCCTTGAACATTTGTGAGCTATTATGAGTATCGTGCCCCATGATGTCTTGGACGTAAAATCAAAAAGGCAGCTTTCATAGCCCTAATAGGATAGTCTAATTAGATACCGGCTTCAGTCTTTCCAATCTTTTCATATTATAAAAATGAGTACTGACGAGCCAAAGATCTATATATCACATTTTCTGTATATATAGGTTTTCATTTATTTAGCTGATACAGGTTTTAAGGGTTTAATATGTGCGTACAAGTGAGGCTATAACTGTTTCATATGCAAATGGTAATTCTAATTTGTTTATGAAATTATTATCTTAAGAAGAAAAGAGAATTTGATCCTTTTAGAAGATATAGGTTTGTAAAAGGAAGGCGTGTGCGGATATACAATTTCACGGAATAAAAGCGTCACAGAATGCATACCAACCGGCCTTTATCTATTGGTCCGTTGCATGACCAATCATATACTAGAATATCCACTGATTGGTTAAATCTTCTAAAGCCAATCAGCATCCAATGTCAATCATATAATGAAGCCACCGAATGTCTGCTTAATAAGTCAGTCTCTATTGCTCCAATGTTACTGTAATATGAGCAATTGTAACCACCGTAGAAAAGTGGACATAATATAAGATATTGCATCATTCTGGACACGATGTTCCACTTTGCGTTAAAGTGAAAAGGCTTCAGAGCCCTTTGAATTTTCACCATCATTTTATGTAGGGGAAAGTGTTAGTAATGTGCATAAAATAGTTCAGCTAAACCCCAGTTCATTTTGGGATGCTATTGATGTGAATCCTCCAATTGAATAGCTATTGATTACCACCCTAACCCAACCCTCCCCCCAAATAGAGATGAGTAAATATTAATTTCTGGTTTAATTGTCCATTAAAATAGGCTAAGCAGCATATTATGCTCCAATTTATGATCCAATAATTCCGCCTTCCCCCTGTGTGACTTTATTTTTAATGTTCGCTCATTTACTTCAAAAGTGAATATAGATATGATTGACAAAGATATCTCTGTCAAATCCCCTAATAATGATAAAAATTGCTTGAATTTTTTCTCATAAATTCAGTTGACCTTACCCAAAAGAATATGAGCTTTATATGCGGTGTTACTTTCCATATGAGGGGTGCGCGATAGACTTACCTCTACGTGGTGCTCCCTGCGCAACGCAAACTCTTACGGCCAAAAAGCTTATAAACCGGCAATTAATTTCAAACTACCATGATCCGACTGTTGGCCACTTTACTGTACCCATCTTATCTTTTTATCTACCCCTGTGTCCGTCCCTTTTACATCTGTTAGTCACTCTTTGGTTTCACCCACTCGACATTTTGTGACTTTGATGTTCCTCCCCTCTCTGAAGCCCGAAATCAACTAAAGGGCTAATTATAACTATCACAAAGCCTGTCATTTGCTAAAAATAAATACATTCTTAATGTCGTTTACCAACTCAGGAATAAATACTCAATGGTTGAAACTCTGTGAACTGATCAGCCAGAGGTATCGACTAATTCTGTTAATCAAAGAATGTTAACTTCCACAGAGTGAGCTGCATCTAACGATCGTCTTTATTGGTCGAAAAGTTTAGAATGCTTTATTGAAAAACATTTGACCTTTTTCTTTTATCTAGTTTTGGTTTGGTAAGTAGGCTACTTAAATGCTCAACAGAAAAAATATGTCTACTAATATGCAGTGAAAGATAGTCTGAAGACGTTTGGAAACGTGCGAGCTGAGTTGTACTGAAACCAACATGAAGCCAATTACCCCTTAAATAAGAGAAAAAAACAACATATGATTTTAAATGCCAAATGTAAATCACCTACAGGCGCAAAGTTGCTACACTATGAACTGTTACGCTTGGATTTAAAGATAATAATATCGGAGCGCGAGAACACTTCTGTGTGGAAAGATTTGGTAGTAGAGTAGGGCGTTTATGACTACATGCATTAATTGAGTAACGCATAATTTACATCGACTTCTATATGACGCATCTCTTATTTAAATTGCTTCTGGCGTTATCTGCATTGGCAATAGTATAAAATTTATCACCTGTTGCTGTCTATCTTTGAATTGGATATGCAGAAGTCCTTGGGAACAATAACTAAAATCAGCTATTTTAATTTTGTGGATGGGTTATTAACTTTATTGAGCGAAAACCACACAAGTTCAAGTGAACTAGACTAAACACGATTAATCTACATCCTTCGCAAAAGTCATTGCATAAAGTTCATATTTACCATTCACAATAAAATATTTACCTAAGTCTCTCATCTAGAATGTACAGAAATGTATTTCTTCATGATTCAACACTCTGAAGTAATTTTGCAACTTCATCAATTACAAATAACTTTCACCTCTAACGCAGCTATTCATTTGAAATACCAAGGCCTTATTTACCACGAATTTATCATTTTCAGGCAGAAGTTATAAACAATATACCGTTTTAACAAACAGTCATTTGTAAAGTCATAAACGTTCTCTAAGTTTAATTCACTTTAGAAGAATAGTCATACTTCTCAAGGTTATGGCCTGTGATTCGCCAACATTTTTGATAGAGGACTCTCGGAGTAATTGCACTAGCACAAATAAACCGAAAAAACCATACTTAACGCCGCGCACACCCTTTAAAATTTTTTTTCGGTAATTGCTGCTGTTAACAGCACAGATTCGTCATTTTCTTCTTTGAGCTTCACCATGTCTCGTGTATCAGCAAACAGTAAGTGCCTTTTCGTATCCAAGGTTTTATGAACTCAAATCTATTCATGCCCTGGCGCAGTGAAAAAATCTTTGCAGCTTTCTTTTAGACTCCTAGATTTAATTAAATTTTTCCTCAGCTTTGATCATGCAATTAAATGCGTACAAGTAGCTGACATTTCCCCTTGTCTCTATTCTGCTTTCCTTAAAAAACTATTTTAGATTTTATTGGTAAATATGTTCCTGACAGTTATTTTACCAGAAACCAAGTTGCCAATTGTAAGTACGAAAAAAGTGGGCAAAATCCATCAAACTCTGCTTTGTTTTAATGCTTCGAAAGGCTTATTCTCAATTACTTTACTCTAAAATTTAATAAGCGCCGAGATATTAAATTGATTATTTTAATTTTTATGACTATTACTTTATTGTTCAATGAAAAGCATATTTACTGATAACGAAACTTTATTTGCATTTCCTTTCAGTAAACGTGAAGAGTGCTATCCCAACTCGACCACTCTACCGTACAGTTGAAGGTACGCTATCATTGAATAAACATTGTTAACGAGTACTAATTAATAAATGCAACGAAATTAAAATAATGATAAAATGGACTCAATGTTCGAATAATAAGATCAAAGTTAAGATTAATTACCAAGAAAGCCCTTTAAAAATGGACTTTATATTTAAATTAGCAGTGCTTTAATATCTTTTTTTTTAAAATCGATATTTTTTTCGATTGGATTAATGAAAACATTGAGATGTAGCTCTTTGCCAAATTGTAATTCCTTTGATGACGTCATTTGACATTGAGTTATAGTCTATCATAATGATTATACTCTATTGTAACTCTCGACAGAAATTGATTCCGATATCTTCGGTACGTAAAAAGAATTAATTGCTTAACTTTCAAATATTCTAACCGCCAATATAACCAATAACAAATGTTTCTGAAATTGCAAATAGCTCTTTAGAATAATGCTTGCAATAAACTCTATATGTACTTTCATATATTTTTCAGCAAGTGTTTTAAGAAATATGCCACCTAGTGAGTGTTATAAAATCCAACACTTCTTAACTCAGCAATTAAGCAGCTATTTTTCTAACCATGAGCGAAATGATTATTAGATTACCCAAGGTCGCGACTTCATAATTCAAAACAAATCTCGGCCTTCTCCCAGAGTTACCTACAAAAACAGAGAGTAGAATCGCTCCTTTCTGGATCATCTGCAAGTTCATCACGTTCTACATCGCCTGAGAGAGCATATCAACCAGTGGCAAGAACGAATCATGACAACAGTGGCTACCATGGGAGGAGATCACATCAGGGAAGACGATCACCACCAAGATATACTTCACCGAATTACAACGTTGATAGAATGTTGGCTAGTAGCCCCTACATAAAGAACGGACAAACCGAAGCTTATCGTAAGTTTATGGCAAAAAATTGAAAAACGTCAATTTGCTTATTTTTTCTCTCTCTCACTTACACGTGCCAATGTAGAGTGTCTTGAATTTAATCAGAATTTCAGTATTTTGACAAATTTGAAAAAGAGCTTAACTTGAATTGTTACTATTTACAGATAGACGAGAACTGAGCCAGCCTTCAAGGAGGATAAGTGGTAATTTTAAACAAAATATTTACTGAACTGAATAATTTGTAGGAAATTTTAAAGCATATTTTTATCGAAGGAAAACCAGGGCATCATGGCTCAAAACCATACCTTGATGGACACAATAGAGGTAAGTTGGCTGATTACTTACTTAATCTCATTATTACTTAACTAATGCACACCACGTGGAGGTAAGTCTATCGTACACCCCACTTATTCTAAAATAGAAGCCAATATTATTATTCCTTTGGTAAATTAATCAATAATAAAAAATCAGTAATATTATCCTTAATTCCTATGTTTTTGGACGATTTTGCAAAAAAATATTTCATTTTAAACCGGGTACATCTTAATTTACCGCATCTGCAGATATAAGTAAATTTGATAAACTTTCAAGCGAAGTTAAGAAATATGAATTAACTGTCGTAGTTCCATTCTTCTTTGGAAATAACGTTGTGCACAACCGACAACATTTTACTGTGTATGCATGGCTTTTTCTTATTACTCTTCCATTCGGAAAAAGATATGGAGTCACGTTGTTCTAGCTCGCCTCATCGATATTCTGCTGTTTGCTAATGTAACTCAAATGTCGTATTATGTGTGACTCCAATTTTTTTAAGAATTACGGGCCGTTTGTTTCAAAACATGAAATATACAGCAATCCCATTAAAACAAATAGGTGAAAATAATGAAAACGAAAGTTTGTCATTTTTGAAAGCATCGTATCAAATTTATTTATTTATATCAAATGGCAGACGTTTTGATGGCTATCATTAGCCCTTTAGTTGACTTCAGGCTTCACAAAGGGGAAGGAACGTCAAAGTGAAAAAATTCGAGAGGGGGGGGGGAGGAACAGAAGAGTTTCAAAGAGGAAGTTAGAAAAGGTAGAAAAAAGGTGGGTGAGTACTGTGAAAGTGGTGGAATATGACATAGAGTGGGGTCATGGTAGTTTGAAATCAGAAGTCAACTGCCGGTTTGTAGACTTTTTTGCCGTGTGAGTATACGTTGCCCAGGGAGCACCACGTGGAGGTAAGTCTATCGCGCACCCCCGTATCAAATAATAAGACAGATCCTCAGAGGGTTTCTGATTTAAATTTAAATTTAAAAAAACAAAAAAAGCAGTTAATTTTGGGCAGATATTTTCCACAGGACGGGAAAAAATAAAAAACCTAAAACTTTTCAAAAATTAAGAATTTTAGAATTAGTATTTACTCACTGAATCTAATATTCAACCTGACGTCTGCTTTTTAATTGATTCTTCGAATTCCTAGATAAGTTGAATACGAAAATTTGCCTTGATGAAGAACGAGCAACTTTTCTGGATATTTCATAATCTTGCCTGATAATGTCAATTGCCTCGTCATTGATAACTTTCAAATTCAGTGTTTATTGCACGGCATATTGAGGTGGGGAATATTTCGATAGAATGAAATAATTTATTTTGAGAACATTGCAAAGTATAGTTCAGAATGACATTTATTTTATAGGTTTCAAGTCCATTAAAGGAGTACAAATAGTTACGAGAAGGCGAATTTATTCCTGATGAAGTTTTTTTGTTGTTGTGAGTGCAGTCACCATTAGCCAAGTCCAAGATAGAATGTTTCCGATAGAAACTTCACCTTAGTTTTATTGAACTTTGGACATTCTAAGTGTGGATCAAATCAACATAGTTCAATTCACTAAAGAATATTTAATAAAATATCCGAAAAATGTTTAGGTCCATTTTATTTACACAACCAAAGAATGATATACACGATCTCACCCCCTCCCCTTATGACAATAGTATTAATCTCGGTATATTGAAAGCTATTTATCTTCTTGTCCAAATAGATTTTAGGTAAAACATATGATTGATTTCTGTCAAAATAAGGTGCATATGGGTATTGTTAGGATTTGGAGTTCATTGAATGGGGAGGACATGATATTTTACATGTAAATTATGGAGATTTCTTTACGTTGTTCACAGCAAAAGTCGTTCTGTGAGTTTTCTCGTAAGCAATTTTTCCAGCAACCTTTTAGTCAATGTCAGGAATCTCTTGTGATCTATTTTTAATAGGAATATTTTGAAGCTTTTGTTCCAATATGAAATTATTGTTAGACAAAATCAATATACCCATTTTAGCACCATCCACGACATCCTCCTCGACGTCGCGTTCATCATCAAATTCTTCTCTCACTTCCTCAAGATCTTCAAGATCTTCATCTGCTGAATCTCTCACCTCCACCTCATCTTCAGCGTCAAAATTCACATACTCTTCATCTGAGTCCACAGATTCGAGAAAGAAGCAAGTGAGGAAACACCATAACTCTCATGGTAAGCGAATACGTAGCATAAGTCTAACACTTATTTTTGGCTTCCAGTTAACTTAGACATAGCCTATATGCCCGTCTGCTTAATTTTCTAGTATTTATTTAAAGGAAAACTGGTATTATTATAAGATGACTAGGCGATTACAAACATGAACTTGAATATGTCCACCGAGGATTTTCTAGTTGATTCAAATTGTGGCATACTGAGAAGAGCTGGTAGGGGTACTAAGTAAAATATAACCTTGCATGTGGGTATCGGAATCTCTTAAATTAAATAAGTTAGATCGGTCCTTCAAATTTGGGCATACTCTAATATTTATTTACACAGGTTTGGATTCAATAGTTAGTAGATTATGACTTGAAAAGGCGAAGAATACTACATTCTAAACATCTGAACTCTATAAAGCGTTCACAGTTTTCACTAACACATCTCAAAATGATAACAGTTGAAACACACAAAATGCTAAATTTCAAATAAGTAATAGTCAATTTATTTGAAGACGGAGGTTGTTATGGAATAGAACGAGTCATTACAAACAATCAACTTTCAATAAAGCTAGCACAGATTTCTTAAAATCTAGTGGCAAGGGATAAGTGTCTGAAGATTATTGATTTAATTAGATTTCAACCTAGGTGAAACAAATCTTTTATGAAAAAAAGAAATTATTTTTAATGAAGTGAAATATAACCATGTTTTCACTAGTTGAGTTCCGAATTTAATACATGATTTCCAGAGAAGATTTCGAAATTCATAATTTCGTAATGGTATCTTGATGTTTTTCTACAATAAAATCGGTTAAGCAATAAAGTAAGTAAATTTAAATCTGTCTATTAGATTTCATCTCGTATCATGTATCTTGATGACAGATATTTGGAAAATGCCTCAAAAAAACGAACGATGGGCTTCGAAATCGAAAGCAAGTGAAACACAACTGAAACAACAAGCCAAGTCCTCAAAATTTTCATCAAATTTGCGAACAAAATTGGCCATCAAAGAGAATCGAATAGCCAAAGAGGTACCAGCAAGTGAAAAATGGAGAATAGATAAAGTTAACATATGGAAAGACACAAAGATTCCCCCAGAATTCCTATTAAGACCATAAAGATACCCAAACTGTAAAACCCTTTCTTGAATAGTTATGTCAGAAAATAACTCTAAAGAATTAGAAAAAATGGAAGGATTTTTATTGCAAAATTTCCGAAATATATGTATCTTGGTGATCTTTAACTACTAATTTAATTAAATCGCTCAATACTTTCGCACAAGTAAGAAAAATTAATAATTAACAGCCCATTTTATTATTCAAAATCGATGAAAGTTTGACTACACTTTAACAGGCTTATCAACGTTTGCGTATTTGCAACTTTGAGAGTAAATGTTCGAGCTGCATAACGGTCATAATATATTCATTTATATCAAATGACAGGCTTGTTACGTCTTCGGGCTTCAGAGAGAGAGAGAGAGAGGACACCAAAGTCACAAAATGTCGAAAGGGAGAACAGAAGAGTGATTTACCAATGTATAAGAGACAGACATAAAGACAGAGAAAATGAAAGATGAGTACTGTGGAAGCGGTGGAATATGACACAGTCGGGTCATTGTAGTTTGAAGTCAGATGGCGGTTTATAGGCTTTTGTGCTGTACTAGTAAACATTGCCCAGGATGCACCACGTGAGAGGTAAGTCTAAAGCGTACCCCATGTCATTATATACAAAAACAATGGTTTGAATTATAATACTTAAGGATATTTAATCCAGTTTGGTCGAATCTATTGCCAATTTGTCTTTGGAATCGAATTTTCGTGTCTTCATTAGCAGTATATGAGATTTAAAATACAACAAAAAATGGAATCAATAATGGTCTAATTGATTAAACTTGAATAATCTCTGATAAAACGACTTTTGATTCCTGAACAGAATGAAACGTATGAAAATACTGTTCATTGGTTTAAACCCAAGCACTTAAACACCTCTAAATACGAATGTTTAAGCATATAATATATTCTGGTATTTTAAAGATTTAATGTTCATTAGAATTATTTTAAATGTAATTTTACTTGAAGTGTAATGATTTTAACCAAAGTACATTGATGATATGCCGAGTTCATAGATGATAAAGTTGAAACAGTAGTACTTTACTGGATAGAGAGGGATGGGAAAATACCCTCCTATTACACTGATTATTGATACTAACTCATGATGTGCTCCAAATAAATCAAGGCCTCCACTTTTGCTTAATATCACATACTACGCATAATCAGATAAGCAGTAGAAAGAGAAGATCCCATAATAGTGAAATCTACGTATATTTGTGCTCAACGTCAGCCAGCTGAAACTGACATTTTAGCACTTCAAACGAGGGCATCTCATTGATCTAAATTGTAAAAAGTTATGCATGCTGCAATGACTATCAGCACTTATTTATTTTTAATTAATTAGCTTCAAAGAAGCAGAACACCGATAAGCACACAAAGTCAAAAGGTAAAATTGTTTGTTTTAACTTGTAATCAGCCTTAATTATCTCAGGATTTAAACTAACGGGCTTTAACTTTGAATGATATTGTGCATGCTTTAGCCGTTGCAGCATAACAAAGTACTCAATCAATAATATTTTAAATTCTGCCACCCTTTTCATAATCTTTGATTTTAATTACAAGCACTATAATTAAGGGCAGTTTAAACACCAATTTTAGAGAGCCTGCGTTTTGCTAATTATGACCTGTTGTGCCATAACCCTTTTAGTCTCTAAAACGGACACCATACCAAAACCCAACAATAACACGAAAATAAGCAGAATGTCCCCCATTTGCAAAGACCATATACGCTAGTGCATTTTAACACTTAACAAATTTTTATAGTGATTAAAAATAATTTATCAAGTTAATTCGAGTAGAAAAAATACTCTTAACAATCAAAAATTCTCAGAAAAAGTTGTTGATTTATAAAATATGGTGTTGGTTCCACCTTTGATCTTCCTGGGGTGTTCTGGAGCGTCTAGACTATATTTGCACTGAGTCTCTTGTAGCTTGTGTTCAGTTTAATCTCACTTGAATCCGCTGACTAAGCTAAAGTTATGGCTGTGTGTTGAGAATGAAGATTGGGTTTGAATACTAACAGAGACGCTGTTTGGTATCTTCAAAGTAGAGTTGAGATTTCCTTCAAACATCATCCCTCTTGTGGGTACGAGGAATCAGATTTCTAAATGTGAAACATTTTTCTTTTATCAAGACCACTAAAGGTAAGTGTAGGATAAGAATAAGAGGCATCGAGACCACTTGATGACATTTATAAGCACAATTTTTTCGTCACGTTATGATTGGCGAATAGCTAAAGGAAACTGCATCGGTTTAAAAGGAGTGACATTTAACCACTTTGAATATAAATTCATATGACAAGAATACTTTCTAGATGGACTTATCAATAGCTAAAATCACAATGTGATAAATCAACGTTAGATTGAAACCATACAGATGAATTTTGAGAAGAAGTGAGTTCAACATTTTGCTTAGTCATTTCAACCATTGTTGAAGACCCTTGCATGAAGCGGCAGGTTTATCATGATCGATTTCTTAGGACGTAAACGAGTGTAGACCTAGCTGAAATGTGATTACACTACTCAAAGTAATTTATCGTTCTAACGTGGTCAGTGTCTGTCTTTTCAGAGAGCATGGTCGATTGATATCGTTATCCTGTGACGGAACATCGGAGATGATTGTTGTTTTGGGGTAGTAGGCTCTGAAATAGGTGGTTTTGAACGACCACAGACAAGGTGATTTACATCGTTACTTTTACACTCTGGTGGATGACATTCCTCTTCATTATTGTCAACTTGAAATAGGGCAGCACATTGAAGGACAAAAAATAGGAGAAATGGACAAAAGGATTATGTTATAAGTGATTAAAATGTCATGAGAATTTTCTTTCCCAATTTTTTAATTTTCTGCAAACCAGATTCCATAGTTTTATAAAAAGGTAAACAAATCACCCCTTCTTGAGTGGCCTGAGACGTTTGGATTCTGTTATTTTAGAAATACTTAGAGAGCATAAATAATATATGTTTGTTACTTTTTATATCTCAATTATCTCAAAAAGAACTGTGAATTAGCCCCCTTTTAACATGCCACAATCTAATAAATGAACAACTTTTATTTATTTGAAGATCCGCAAAATGAACCAAGTTCAGGTTTCTTAGATTAAATTTATGATTCATTTCCCCATTCTTGGAAAGATTGAATCCTCTCGGATCAATAATTCGATGAAATCATTTAATATTATTTAATGAAAGTTTGAATACTCTATAGGATAGTGAAAAGGCTTGAAATAGGAAAGAATTCCACTATTTTGAACTGGTGATTGCCAAACTGTACTTATATTCAACAGTAAAAGTTCTGTAAACTGTAGAATTATCCTTTGAACTGGCAAAAAAGAAGTTATTATGGGAGGAGGTGATTTAAATCGAAACAACATCTCAATTTTACTTTCAAATTCAAGTTGTTGAATATTCATTAAAAAGGAGATTTCACTGTTCTCGCATTCCAGCAGCTAAGTCACTTTCCTTCCAGGTGGATTACCGATCAATGTCTTATCCAGTGCTTATTGGATTATTGTTTAATCGGTAAAGTAAACCTTCCCACTTCAGTTCATTTCTTTATCTGTCTAAAACGATTGTACCAATCTTACATGATAATGATTTTTTCAATTTAAGCACTTTCAATGAATTATTAAAATAAATATTCGCTTTCATAAAGTTAAGGAATTGAGTTGTTGCCTGGTTTTATGCCGATAACGTTTAAAACATCCTTCGCACCAAAATTTGGGAAAAATAAGAACGGGTAAAGAATCTGCCACCTCAAGTAACCTTTGCATATGTTCTAATTGTAACAGCAAGATTTATTTTTGTAGAATGTCCGATCAAGGAGTGAATGTTAGTAGATGAAGGAAAATTGCTAACAAAATCTAGACTTCATTACCATTTATTTATTTTAAGTCTAACAAATTACGCTTCTTCTGTTAAAACGTTCATTGCTTCTTTCTCTAATGACGTAAATATAAAACTTTTAGGATGAATAAATAAACATTTGCTCAAAATGTCCGTATTTACGGAACCGTTTTTTATTCTCTATGGCTGGTATACAATTTCGGTGATTCGTCTTCTAATGGCACGGTTAATTACAAGATTTAAAATGAAATATTCGGATAAATTTTCCTTTATTAATTTATGAATTATAGAAGCATAAGATATACGAATCACAAAAATGAGTTCTAAGGAAAGTTGTTTGTCTTATTTCACTAACATTCTTCGTTTTTTTCACGAGTTAGTCGTATTTTTCTATTTTTCAATAACGAATACATCTTTAAGCCCTCACCTTATTGTGCTTATTACGATTTAATAAATATTTTAATCGTTCTATTTAAATAGGCTAACCGGTGTTTTTTTCAAGGTGTAGTATGAAAATCATGCACCTATTTTCTGAAACTTTCAGATCACCGACGTCAAAATGAAAATCGACACAAGAGCAAGAGCCCTGATCGATCGTCAAGTCGTAAAATGCATCGTACTAAAGGGAGAAAATATCAGAGTAGAACAAGTAATTCTTGTATAATTCCATCTCATCCACTTCTTTAAGTTAAAAGAAACGAGTCCACTTCTATGAAGAATGATGTTACTCCACCTAATTCTGGCAAAATATGTGAGTTTTCACTCTAAGCAGTGAGATAACCACCTATGCGAGCTAAATGAACTTTAATTATCAACTAATCGCATCGATGTTAACCAATTTTATTCTAACACAGCTTCAAGCTAAATATAAGGCGAATTCAAAGAAATTTAACTGTACTTTTAAGAACTAATGGGATGGAGCTCTCAATTGATATAACTATAAATGCTATTTCAGGCTTACTCTAGGAATATTGCGACGCGCACTTTTAACCGTTTCCTCAGAAATGGGACAAAGTAGAGACAAGTTAATAAATGACAATACATTCAAAAATAAAGAAGCCCAAACTGATTGAATGGAAGATTTTATGAGCTCAAGAGCAAGATGGTATCTTTATTTT